GTTGGAGCGTACCCCGCAGCCAACCGCCGCGGTCAGCGCGCCCTCCGCGCACCGCCCCCCGCCGCCACCAGCCAACCTTCGCCACCTGCGCACCGCTTAGGCCCCGTCTCCCGACGCTAAGAGCCAACTGCCGCAGCCTAGGCCGCTGCGCACCGCCCCAAGCCCCATTCCGCGAAGCTGCCAGCGGTCATCCGCGCTTCGCCTCGGGCCCCGCCCCCGCTAGCCAACCTTTGCCAGCCGGGCCGCGGCGCACCGCCCCCTAGAGCCGCCAGCCAATCGCTGCCCAGGCTTCCGCGCCTCGCTCCCGGCCGCATCTCAGCCAGTCATGCGGCTGCGCACCGCCGAGGGACGTGCCTCCAAAAGCCCCTACTAGGGCCCATGACTCAGCTGGGGGTTGCCAAGGCAACGTCGTTCTCCACCCCCATCCATTCTCCGGCCGTTGGAGAGGGAGACGCAGGCTTCGCTCCGCTTCAGAGGCCCCCCCCAACCTCCGTTTCCTCAGACACGCACATGTCCTTCAGTGCCTCTGTCCTCGGAGCCCCTCTCCTCCTCAGAGCCCCCTTCTCCTCCTCAGAGCACCCCAGTCCTCAGGGTTCCTGCTTCTCCTCCGAATCCTCACTTCTCGGACCTCCCCACTCCTCCACAGAGACCCCACTCTTCCTCAGGGCCTCTTACCTCCTAAGAGCCCCCCAGTCCTCCTTAGAAACCCCCTCCTCCTCAGAGCGTCCCCACCCCTCAGAGCCCCCCTCCTAAGACTGCATTCCTCCTCAGACTCCCAACTCCCTCAGCCCCCTTGCTCTTCAGAGCCCCTCCCAACTCCTCAAGGTCCCTGCTCCTCCTCAGAACTCTCACTCCTAGGATTCTCATCAACACCCCCTAGTTCACCTCCAGAAGCCCAGAGCCCCAGACTCCTTTGCTCAGCCCTGTCAGGAGGGCTGCTGAGGCTCCTGGCCTCCCTGACTCATCTCCCCTGGAGCTTCCTTGCTCCCTTTTGCTGGCTGAGGGTGCAGGTATGTGTGTGGTGACGACAGGGAGGTGAGAACTGGGTGATTTTCTCAACCACAGAAGTCAATTCTATTCACCTTTCAAGGTGCAGCTTAAGAGCAACCTTGCTTGTTTATTCATCCACTCACCCTACAGTCTGGGCCTAGAAGACACCACCAGCCTGTGGTTAACAAATGAATGTTTAGAGTGCCTACTCCGCCATGCACCCCAAGTCAGAGCAGATTTTCGGAGGTCTGTTTTTTGCTGTTAGGCATCACGGCATCAGAGAAGGATCTTTTGTGTGAGACAAGGAACAGGCTGGACATGAGTCACTTCCTCAAAGTCATGGAACTTACTGGGGCTGTTTGTTTTGAAGATGGGCAATGGACGGGGGCTAGGTCAAGGATCCTCAGCTTTGCTGGGAACAGCTTCAGGATAGAGCCCATGTCTTTTCAGTGCTGCTGGACAGGAAATTTAAACACTGTTTGATGTGGTTGAATCAGGTTGGGGAGGGAGAGATTCCAAACGGGATGGCAGGGAATGGAAATGAGTGACATGGGCTGGGTGTAAAAACAGTGAAAGCTCCTGATGAACGGAACACAACACTTGGCCCCAGTGACAGGAAGTAATAAGATATTGGGACAGCGGGAGAGCATGTGACCTGTACAAAAGGGCAGCTGCTAACGCAGGAGGTCTGAGAAATAGTGGGTAACTTCGCTGACCAGTGCAGGGGTGGGGGACAGGTGAAAGTTTCAGGAACACAGCAGAGACAAAAGCTTGAAACCATCTGGCAGAGAGGAGAGCCCTATGAAAGGGGAAAACTGACTGGACAAGATCCCAAAGGAGACCCAAGGGATGCAGGTTAGAACCTGGAGGATGCTGATGCAAAAGCAGCCATCTGAGGTGAGATACAGAGCTGCCTTCTGGAGGCCAACAGGGATCCCGCATCCCATAGGAATTGGTCGGTTGTATTGGCTCCAAAAGTGACACATTTGTCCAACAGGCCCTGAGCTCTGTGTAGGGAGGGACTGCATCTTTCACAGGCGTGTGCCTGGATCAGTGCCTGAGCACATGGTGGAAGACACTGGCCTGGATGTCATCTCTGGAGATTCAGGCCCCTGGCCCTAGGAGCCATGGTGCCCACCTGTGACCCCACAGAAGTGCCTAGCACCCCCAGTTTATTCTTGCTTTTTCAGAGCTGGCTTAGGACGGGGAGCTTCCCCAAAGGGAAACCCAGACTCATTTAATGTAGAAGGACCTAAATGTTTTTGGTTCTTCAGCAGCAGGTGCGTTAGTGGTTTAAGAGTTTGGCTTCTTATGAGAGATCTAGGTTCAAATACTGACTGATATTCAGCATGTGAACCTGAAGTAGGGGCATAAACCTGTCTCCTCACAAGTGAGGTGGGAGAATAGCATCCAGATCCCAGTCCTCTGTGCCTGGCAGGGTACCATCAATGCTAGCTGCCTGTATCAGCACCTGAGAGGTGGCTCATCATAGGGCTGGCTTTCCTGAAGCTTTGGGGGACTGTGGGGCAGGGGTAGGGAGAGCCAGGCTGAGCTTGTGACTAACTCCAGGGACTGGGGGGAATCTGAAACCCTTTCCCCGGGGCTCTGTAGTCCCTTAAGGCACCTCTGTGCCCTTTCAAAGCTGTGTGACCCTGGGCAAGAGCTCAAGCTCTTTGAACCACTGTCCTTACATAAAAATAAGTGTAATGCCTGTGCCACAAGATGGAGATGATGATTAAATAATGCATGTAAAGTGCTTATCAGTGTGCCAGGTACCTCAGAGGACCTCAAGAAATGAATGGCAGCTCTCAATCTGTGCATCCAGCTCCATGGACCCCACTACCTGTGGCTCCCAAGTGTGTATGTAGGTGGTGGGGTGGACAATGGGATGGTCAGGACTCCTGACCTTTGAACAACCTGGACTCAGACTAAAAGGCAGGCAAGAGATAGGACTCACATAGGCCAGAGACCATCCCGGGGTCCTCAGCTCTCCCTCCAGAGGAGGGAGACAGACAGACAGTGAGATGGAAACATGGGAACAGGCTGAGGAGACACATTACAGAGGCAGAAGGGAACAGACACACAAGACTGCAGAAAGAGGTGGAGTAAGACCGAAGAACAAGAACAGGGCTGAGGAGATGTCATGTTGAAAGATCCCTCCAGGCCCCAGAGCCACAATGGACAATTCAGGGACACAGGAACAGGCAGACTAGTTGAAGACAATGCTTTGGACACCTCAGAGCAAAACGGTTTACTCCCTGTATCACACCCTCCTCATGGACCCCTGCGATGGTTAAGATATGTCACCTTGGCTGGGCCATGATTCTCAGTGGTCTGGCAGTTGTATGACGTGATCACTTCCATGATGGGATCTGCTGTGAGTGACCAATCAGTTGAAAGGGAGTTGTCTTGGGCATGTGCCCTGCATCGAATATAAGTGGACATTCTGGCAGGACTCATGGGCTTTTCCTCGCTCAAGATCCTGCAGCTGGCTCCTGTTTGTCTGACCTCTGGTTCTCGGGACTTGAGCTAGCAGCTTACCTACTGTCTCGCCTGCCTATCTTCGTTGATCTTTGCAGCCTGTGAGCAAGAGCCCTGCTCTCTGACCTGCCGATCTTGGGTTCATTAGCCCCTGTGGCTACGTGAATCAGGAGATGCCTCTATCCTGACCCACGGACTTGGGACATTCCAGCCTCTACAACTGCATAAGCCATTTCCTTGATATAAATCTCTCTATTTCTGTGCTTTACTGGTTTTGCTTCTCTAGAGAACGAAGCCTAAGACAACCCCTTCAATTTTAATGAGAACAGGCAAGCACCCCAAGGCCATGAGGGGCCATAAACCTTTCCAAGCTTGCACTCAGTACTCCACAGCCTGCGCCCCTAAAGAATGAGCCTTAAGCAGACGGTGCATCCATGGTCCTTCCTTGTTACCTTTTCACATTGGGCAGCATGGCCTGAGAGAGCCCTTGTCTCTCCTACCCTTAATACCCAAACCACCACGTATCAAGGAACCTCCTGTAGTCCACAGGGCTCACCACGGATGTGCTATAAAAATAGAAAATTGTCCGTTAAAAAACCCTCAAACCTGAGATAAGTGAAAAGCCAGATTCATGCCTCCATCCAACTTTCCCCAAGGCACTCAGAGATGACCCCAAGCCCCCACACCCTGGGGCAGAGCTGTATGCCTGGGGAGGGCTGGCAGTGGTGCTGTGCTGAGCCAGACTGTGGTCTGCCTTTAAGTCTGTCCCATGGATGAGGTTGAGCCAGGCAAGTCCCATGGGTGCCTGACTGTACAGGGGCTGCAGATCTGGCACTCGCTGCACTGTGCTAAAGCCCAAGGCAGCTAAAGGGTGGAGTCCATCAGGGGGTGTCCATTCTCAGGAAGCATGATGCGTGTGCTGGCACCTGTCTGGTAAGAGGGTGTATAGCGGGCGGACTCATGGGTGGATCGGCGGAGACACAGACAGCAGAGGAGGTGGCGGAAGGTGCGGCGCATCTCAGCATCACGGCATGAGTACACCACAGCATTGACCAGTGAGTTGGCCTCGGCCAAGAGTAGGAAATACTTCTCCACAGCCAGAACATTGCAAGACTTGCAGCCCAGACCATCCAGGAGCAGCACCACCTGGCCTGGTGTCCAGCAGACCACGAACGCTCCTGTGGAATGGAGCCTGAGGTGAGCAGACAGGGTGTGAGGAGGCCTGGCATCCACAGCTCTGACCTTGGGGTGGAGGAGTCGCCAGAGCTTGGGCAGCAGCTGCCGGCCTCACAGACAGGGCAAACTGCTAAGCGGGGGACGTTTCTCTGATTTGTCTTCCTAACTAGCACGAGATAGCCATTGCCTTGGAAATTTCCACTATGGGAGGGTTGTTCCACGGGAGAAGAGGATCACTGTGGGATAGGCTAGTTAGTGGGGGGAAGGGTTGCTCCTTGTTCTTGGGGGTGGGTGTACCCTCATGGGAGGGGCTGGAACCCTTCAGCCTCTCCCACCCTGTCCATTCTATATTTTTCAGCCAGAATGATCACATTACTCCCCCCTAAAAAATTCTGAAGGGCTTTCCATGGAACTCAGAACAAAACTGAACTGCCGCTCGTGCCCTTTAAGGCCACGGTGACACTCCTCATGGCAGGCCTGCCATGTGGGCCTCCTTTCCTCTTGGAGGGCCCTGGCCTGGTCCTGCCTTGGAGAGCTCACCTTACTGTCCCTCTGCCCGGAGCTCTCTTATCAGATCACTTGTGTTGTTCATAGTAGGGGTTTAGAAAGGGGATCCCTGTGGCCCTGGGCTGGCTGGGGGCCTCACTCACCCAGGATGATAACGACGGTCTTGACTAGGCTGAGTGTGGTCTCCTGGTAGCGGGGGTGGCAGCTGACGTGCTCTGCCATACGCTGCACGCGCCGCCGCACATAGAAGAAAATGTGGGTGTAGACGGCCACCATGAGCAGGAAGACGAGTAGGCTGGACAGGGCCCAGACGGCCAGATAGGAGCGGCTAAGCAGGGGCGCCATGCGTGAGCAGCGGTCCAGGGCACAGAGGCAGTGCCAGGAGTGGGCAGGCAGCAGTCCCAGGCCCAGCGCAGCCACCCAAACGACTACAATGAGCATGACGATGCGGCCACGGGGCAGGCGGCTGTGCAGTTGCACGGCCATCACACTGCGGTGCCGCTCCACGGCGATGGCCAGCAGTGTGGCCACCGACGCTGTCAGGCTCGTGTCCAGCAGGCCCTGCCGCAGGAACCAGCCCTTGAGTGAGAGGTGGGCCGTGCGTGGCCCGGTGTGGAACATGAGGAAGAGGTAGGCCACGCCAGCAAAGAGGTCAGCGGCCGCCAGGTTGCCAAGCAGGTAGTAAATGGGCTGGTGGAAGCGGCGGTTAGAGGCGATGGCTGCAATGACTAGCAGGTTCGTTAGCAGCACCAGCACGCTGACAGTCAGCCCCAGCGCCACCACAACCACATCTTTTGGCCGCCAGTGGGAGCTGAGCTCCTTGCCACTATTGTTGTAGAAGAAGCCGATGGTCTCATTGTAGTAGCAGTGGCTCATGGTGAACATCTGGGGGCACAGAGGGAGTAGTCAGTGTAGGTGGTGCTTTTTGGAAGGGCACAGGAGAGAGCAGCAGCTGGAGGGGGAGGGTCAGGACAGTCGGAGCAGGAAGGGCAAGGGTCTTAAGCTCTGGTCCTCCCAGCCAGGTGATGGTGGGGACCAGAGTGACCTGGAAAAAGCAAGCTCCACGGGTAGGATGGGCAGCTGTTTCTTAGTTAAGCTTTTAGAAAAGGTATTTCCCAAACCAAGTAACTGGCTCGTCCAATCCAGGTCCAAATGTCCTCTGTGAGGGAGGAGGAGGAGGGGCTGGGGCAGGACAAAAGGGCGTGAGCTGAGTAGGTTAGCTTGGTGCCGGGTGACGGCAGGGAGCATAGACAGGGTGTGTGTGCACAGGGTGAAGTCGGTGCCGGGACAGTGGGGGCGGTCCATGCAGGGCGTGGAGATGACCAGGGCAACCCGAGGGGGCAGTGAGGCGCCCCCAGAAGTTGGGCGGTGGGCTTTGGGTGCGAGTGCTCCCAAGGCGGGCGGGACGCCGGGCCGTTCCGGGTAGAACGGAGAACCCCGGCAATCTCGGGGACAAAGGCGGCGGTCGGCTGGTCTGGCTACCAAACGCCGAAGGCTGGGTGAGGAGGAGGGAAAGAGAGGGCGGCGCCCCAGCCCTGCAGGCACGTGCCCGCCCAGGCCGGGCAGAGACGCCCCGAGAGGCCGCGGGCCAGGCGCGCCCTCCCCGGGACCCGCGCCCCCTCCG